ACAGAGAGAACCCAAGTGATAGATAAGATTTGTTCAGGCACAAGTTGGTTGTGAGTTTATTGTTAATGAACCTAATAATGTATAATAAACAAGATGCTTTTAAACAGAAACACAAATAAAACAAGATGATATATTGATCAGTTGATGATGATGATATGAAGTGAGGCTCACAGGAACCTCACTCAGCCTCACATTGAGCCCTGGGAACAATGGCTCCATGTAGCTGATTCAATGTTTGCTGTGACTTCATAGATGTAACTATCACGTAAGATGATAATTGGCTGCTTATAACATAAACATTTATATAAACATAAAATGTATATAAAATGAAACAGAATATCCATACATCACTTCAGCAAAAGAAATAGTAGCTGACATATACTGAAGAGTTCTATGACTAAGAAATTTATATGTTATCTCATTTTGTAACCTCTTTTTAGGTTCTGTTATTTTTCTGACTATATAGTCAAGAAACTGAAGCCTCAAATCTTATGTGAATTACATAACTTTTAAGTGGTGAATAACAGAGGAGTCAGGTTCTGAGGCCCTCCATCCCTAACCAACAGTCTTGCCTCTTCAAAGTGTATAACTGATTCAACCAAACAAGTAATCAAACAGTGTCAGGCATTGTGAGAGGAACTTGAGATAGAGCTGTAAACATACATGCTGGTCCTTGCCTTTGGGAAACCCACACTTGTTTGGATTCAAGCAAGTAAACACCCATTTAAAATAATGGAGTTACAAGGGGAAATGTAGGATGCAAGGTAAGCCCACAGCAGGGGCTCTTGTCAAAGTTAGTCAGAAAACATAGCTTAGAGGAAGATAAACTCTTCAGGCTCTATGGGAGCTTGCCAATTATGTGGGGGAGGGAACAGAGTTCCAGGCAGAGGCAACTGCAACTATAAAGGTCTTGGGGCAACTCATATAAGTCTAGTTCAAAGGAATAGAAGAATCCCTAATCCCGTGTGTGTGTGTGTGTGTGTGTGTGTGTGTGGCCGGGGTTATGTAGAAAATATTGAAAGATGAACTTAGGTCATTAGAGGACAGAGTATAAATGGCTTTGATATCATGTTAAAGATTCTGGAGTTTATGTAAGAGCAAAGGAAAGTTACCAAAAGACCTCAGCAGGCAAGAATTATATTTATAGTATTGTACTTTGCTTTCTGATGGCTTTTGCAGTATTCTTGTAAGAATGAAAAATTTCTAACATTAATGATTACATTGTGTTAAACCTGACATGATTATGGATTATGCACCTGAAAAGAACTTTCTGGATTAGTTGGCATTCTTCATCCATTTGTAAACACAAAGACTAACAGATGAGGTACATGTATTTAACAAGATACATTTTCCTGAAGGTCCCTTTGTTTTTACCCTCATCAGTAGTTTAGTGCATAGACCAAATTTCAGTTATCTGTTCACAAACTTAGGGTATTTTTTTGGTAGTGCCGCATGTTATAGGAATGAATAAATGTGAGTGTCAAAGAAGTATAATTTTTCCTGTGAAATTTGATACTAAATGTGTGGGGAAAATTTTAAATTTTGTTGTTGTTTTGGGTACCAGGAATTGAATTCCAGGGCAACTGACCACTGAGCCATATCCCAACCCTATATTGTATTTTATTTAGAGACAGGGTCTCACTGAGTTGCTTAGCACCTCACTTTTGCTGAGGCTGGCTTTGAACTCATGATCCTCCTACCTCAACCTCCTAAATGTGTGCCACCATGCCCAGCAAAATTGTAAATGTTTAGGGAAAATAAATGAACTTCAAGGGACCTGGCACTCATTTTTTTTTTTTTTTTGTCAAGCGTCCTCTTCCCACTTAGGCTAAAACTGCAAATGAGAGGGAAGCATTAGGATTGTGTTTTATGGCTTCTAGAATGGGGTTAGATGCTCAGAGAAATTCTTGGCCCTACATCAAAATACTGGTGAATGAATAGGTTTACTTATTTTAAGGTAAAATAAGAGGTTTAAGATACATTCAACATATTGATTTTTATGTATCTCAACCAATTATTTTAATGCTTTGAGTGCATCAGATAATATGAGTTTTGTTCACTGTATAGACATTAAGCCTCAACTACATGAGTAATGGGGCATTTAAAGAGCATTTAAATACTTTTGACTGACAAAAGTATTCTCTCTTTAAGTAGTCCACCACATTGAGAATTTTTAAAAATATTTATTTTTCAGTTTTAGGTGGACACAATATCTTCATTTCTAAAAAATTTTATGTGGTTCTGGGGATCAAACCCAGTGCCTCATGCATGCTAGATAAGTGCTCCTCCACTGAGCCACCACCCAAGCCCTACACATTGAGAATTTTAGGTCCACCCCGTACTAGGGGCTATGCTTCAATGGCTTTACCCCCCAATAAGGCTGCTAAAATATGACAATGACTTCACCATCACAATCCTGCCAGCATTCCTTTCCTTACCACCACCACTCAAGTTTTGGGAGCCATTTCTATTTCTCCCTTTCTTTTTTCCAGGTGCAGAGTTAACTTGGAAAAGAATGCAACAAAAACAGCTTGATGAGACTAAGGAAGACTTGCTGCATTCAGCTAGAAGCACCCTCTGTGGATAGCTCCTGCTCAGACAAGAGGCAAAGCTGTGACAGAACAGGAGTGTTCAGTTTGAGGGGCTTCACTTTGTCATCTACTTTCCAAATCATATTTGACCCACATAGTTTATTTTTTATCCACTAAAAAAATTAATACAAGCTCATGACAGAAGTTTCAAACAGTGCAAAAAGGTGAAGTCACATACACTTAGTGTAACTTTGGGCAAGACACGGAGCCTCTATGGTCTTCAGTGTTTCCATCTGCTAAATAATGAGAGTTAATTTGAAGAGCTTCTCTGAGGATATAATGAAATAATGTATGTAATGTGCCTATTGTTGTTATTATTTTACTTCATAGTTATATAGGCATTATTTTCATACCCTTAACCAAAAAAATTAATAATAATTTCCACTACTGAGAATTCTGTTGTTTTCCAGCAAGTTGGAAATATTAGGAGGGACACACATAAGAATGATATAGGGTCAAAAAAAAAAAAAAGCCCATCTGCCAATCAGCTGAATTGGCTGTGATGGTAAATGGAATGATGTCCCAGACAGATATCCCACAGGTACTACAAATACAAGACAACTGAACTATTTTGTGGTCTGTACCACCAGCCAAGCTTGGTAATACCTTAAGCAGTCACCCAAGATTTCAATCTGGCAACTTGGGTATCATAATAGACCCCTGTTCCCTCCATCTACCCAAATTGGCTACCCTGTTAATACCGCCATATCATCTCTTTCATTCCTTTCCTCTCCTTTTCAGTCTCACAGGTCCTCCTCCTGGGGTTTTGTTAGCCTGCTCTCCTTCAATCTGTCCTCCTCGAATCCATCTTCCATATGATAGCAAAGTAATCCTTCTAAAATGCAAGAATGGTAGTGATTATCTTCCCTGTTTAAGATCTTTCATAGTCACCTGCAATGTAAATTTTAACTCCCTTATAAAGTATCCATGGTAATTATAGGAGTTAATGTAAAGTACTTGAACAGTGCCCGATACAGTTAGTACTATGGAAGTATAGAAGTTTGCTGTTATTCTTAATGACATGGTCTCCCCTCTCCTTTTCAATTTAAAACAGTCCTCTGTTAGAATCAAGGCTCCATGTTTTTCCATGTACACCGTACTATTATACACCTCTGGGCGCCCAAGCTCTCGCTCTAGCATATTCTCTCTCTCTCTCTCTCTCTCTCTCTCTCTCTCTCTCTCTCTCTCTCACACACACACACACACACACACACTCACACACACACACACACACACACAAACAATACAATTTCACTTTTAGATGACCTGGTTGCTCCTATCTGTGTGGAACTCTTTTTTGGGGGTGGGGGTGGGGGCAGGAACCGCAAGATAACATCTAGTTAAGTAAGAAGACCAAGACGCTGCAGAACCTTTTTTTTTTTTTTTTTGCAGGGGAGGGTGGGCTACTTTACCATTGAGCTACATTCACAGCCCTTTTTATTTTGAGACAGGTTTGTGTGGCGTCATTAAGTTGCTGAGGCTGGCCTCAAACTTGCCATCTTACCTCATCCTCCTGAGTTGCTATCTCAGGAGGCTGAGGATTACAGGAGAGCCTGGTTCATCATCTTCTTTACATCCTGCCTTTCCCAGTGTTTCATAACCCTCTTCCATACGTTAGTTAATTCCTTCCAATTCTGTGCAACCTCTGAATGTTGCCATGTTTCTTCAATTGCAACTAGTACATTAGCTCATGTTTTGTTGATAAGTTGCTCTCCCCTAACAGGTGAACTCTTAGAAGGCAGGGATTTTATTTTACTTATTTCAAACACCTGACTAAATGATGGTACATAGTAAGCACCTAGTTAAGTATTTGGTTAAGATACCTTTTTTGAGCAAATGAAAAGTGTAGGTTACAATTAGGAAAAAAAGAAATTAGGAATATTTTATGAAGTAGAAAGAAATTCTCGCTCAGGCGGGAAAAGGAAGTTTATTAAAATCCGTGGAACCTCAAGATAACTTCTAGCTAAGTAAGAAGACCTTGACGCCGCTGAACCTACTTGGTGAAGGGACCTAGGCTTTGGGATCCGCTGATGCCTTGTTAAGTGTTAAATGAAGGTAATCTACATGCCACCTCTTTTTGACTTTGAGGTCAGGTGTGAGCAATTTTATTCCACTTTCTGGAAAATTTCCCGCCGCATCGGTATGGATTAAAGGGTCTTCTAGCCCCCAGAAGTCTCGCCTTATTGTCTCCATTCAGGGCACGACCCCAGCATCATCACTGCGGAAGCTCGGTGGCAGGCGGGCGCGGGGCCGCGGGTACTGGTTAGCCCCTCCCGGCGGGTCACGTGCGCGAAGATGCTGACGCCCCCCCCTCCGCCCCCCGCCGTCCCCTCCGCCCCCTCCGCCTCCCGGGCCTCCTCCTCCTCCTCCTGGTGAGGGTGTGCGAGGCAGACGGCGCGAGGGGGAGCGAGAGAGCGAGCGAGCGAGCGATCGGGCGGGCGCTGCCGGGAGCCCGCAGCCCTGGCGCCGGCCGCCGACCAGATCCCCGCAATATGCCTCCGCGGCCCTCTGGCTCTCGGCCATGGCAAGACTCTGCCGGCGCGTCCCTTGCACCCTGCTTCTCGGCCTAGCTGCGGTGCTGCTAAAGGCACAGCTGGTCCCCGCGGCCGCCAGAGCCGAACTCAGCCGCTCGGACCTCAGCCTCATTCAACAACAGCAGCAGCAGCAGCAGCAAAAGCAGCGGGAGGAGGCTGAGGAGGAGAAGCCAGAGGTGCCCGGGGCATCTTCTACCTTGACCATTCCAGGTAGGTGCTGGCAGTCCCGGCCTGCCTTTCCATCTTGGCAAGTGGTCTCATCTGGCCTCCCTGGCTTCCTTGCCCCTTCCCTAGCCAGAACACATCCCTTAGCCTGTCCTTATCCATCCCCATCCTTCCCGACCTCCCCAGACTGCCTGTCCACCCTTTGGTCCATTGCTCGGCGCCGGAAATCTGCTCTTTGGGGATGAGCTTTCTGGGAAGCGCAGAGCGCTGCAGTGGGTTGGGAGGGGTCGGGGTGGGCTACTGCTTCGACTGATCTTTTTCTTTTCCCTCCCCTCTTACCGAATTCCTCTCTCCGCTCTGGGAATGATTGTGTATACATACACAGCTTTCAGATCTCTTTAGCATGTTTTTTTCTCCCTCTATCCATTTTCTCTTAGATACCGAGAAATCTTGCCATATACACCCACACACCCCTTTTCGCCGTTTCTCCTTGCCTGCTATATTTAAATTTTGAGCTGGAGAAGGAAATCTTGATTTATTTCTCTCTCTCCTTATCCCAGGAAGGGTTTAAGGCAGTTTGAAAAAAAAAAATGTCTCCAATACAATAAGATGAAATAAAAATGAAACAGGAGTTTGTAACTAAAGGGAAAGGAGAGTGGGAACAGATAAGATAGTCTGGAACAATATTAGTGCAGCACAAGCCTGCCCCCAGAGAGGGGAATCTCTTTACTTGTTAGTAGAACTTAAATGAGGCAGATTCTTGACACATCCAGTGAGGGTGAAGAAATAGGGGTGCAGTGTATGTGGCTGTAACAGACTCCCAGTTGCAGCCTGCAACTCCCCCATTGAATCTCCACTGGTAAGCTAAAAGCTGGATTATCCATTTAAATAGCCTTTACCCAGCCCCCAACCTAGTTCCCTTCCTAGCTATAGATGTAGCCTGCTTTTTTGGAAAGGGGAAAAAGCCATCAATTTTCTGGCTAGTGGGCTTAGGTTTTGCAAAACCAAAGTGAACTATATCATAACGTGTATTTTTGTTTTAAAATCCTGCTGAGTAACATCATACAAGATGCTGGAAATGAAATTCTAAAGAGTGGATTCAGCATCTTATTTTGTATTGCTTGCTCATCATCAAAGAGCAGTACTCAGGCATGCCAGCTGCGATTCATGACATAGCCAGGATGATTTAATTTATGGAAGTGCTTTGAGCATAGGATGAAATCACCAAAGTGTGCAGGAAAGCATGTGTTTCTGACACCCTCTTAAACCAATTAATAACACTCAAGCTCAACTGAAAGAATTGAAAGGTGTTCAGTGTTTGTTGGTTTTCCTAACCAGCTTTTAGTACCCAAAAGTGATAATAACATGGTGTGGGCGAGGCTGCTGTTAGACATGCTAAACCAAGGAAATTGGAGATAGTGATTGAGTGTCTTCATTACAGGAGGGATTTTATAAATAACTATGAAACAGAAGTCTTGGAGAGTGTTAATGGGTTTCATGGTTTGCAATATATTTATTTCAATTTATCTTTCAGGAATATAAGTTAAGTGGGTTTTCACTACAACATTATATGTATGTTGTGATGAGAGCTATGAATAATAGCAGTATGAACATTTTGAATCCAGTATGAAAATAAAATATTGATTTTTTTTTTTTTTTTTTTTTCTGATCCTTTGAGAGAGATTTTTTAAAAGGATGAACGGGAAGCTAGCAGTCTTTGTTTTATTTACCTACTACACTAATTGACATAAGGAACCACTGTCTAATAGGTCAAACTAGAACCTGAAAAACGGCATATGCCTCTTATTTCTTCCTCAAAAACTCCAATCCCCTGTCCAGTGCAAATGAGAGCAATTCAGTTGATTGCTGTTTGAGTTATTGGAATGTGGTGTCGAATAATGAAACAGCGTATTAATAAGTGAAGTTAACATACCCCTCTGAATACGTTATGGTCTCTTCTCGTTCCTCATTTCAACCTTTGTTCCCCTCCTGTCTGTTCTCATACAGAACATCATCTTCTGAAAAGCATTAAATAGGATCATTTCTGCTTAAAATCCTCCAATCTGCTCACAATCTCTCTCATGCTAGATGCCCAGATCTAAAAATGGCCTAGAGTGGTCTGAATCCTGAGTTGCCCTCTTTTTCCCACTCCCACAGTGCTTTCCCAGTTCATTCCACTGTAGCCACACTGGCTCCATGTCTCTTAAGTTTGCAAAGTGGTTCAGGTGCCTGGAATTCTGGAACTTCACATTCTTTGGGTTTTCTCAAGTATCACTGTAACTGAGAAGGCTTTCCTGGCCAGGTATGGTAATATGCATATCCTTCGGACCTTACCCTGATTATTCTGTTCTCCTGGGTACTTAACCTCAGCCCTTCTTATCAGCCTGTCTCCCATTACTTGAATGTTAGCTCTATATGGCATAGACTTTTTTCACTGCTGTAAAGAGCATTTGGTATGCAGACATTTAATGGTTTGCTGGATGGATGAATATGCTGGCACCAATGAACACTTTTACTTTCTGAGTATTTTCTAAATATTTAACTTCTTGTAAACTTTCTTATTTTTTTGCTAAATTCCAATAAAAACAAACAAAAATTTGTAGTAGAGGTGATAAAGTATATAAATTTTGGGTGCTTAATTATACCTAATTTCAACGTTTATTTTATGCTATCTATAGAGAATGAATTGATACTGATAATTGAGACCTCTTACTAGGTCCTGTCATGAAGATTCTTTACCGAGGTGCACTTAATATCCTCTTATTACCAAGGAGGGTATTAACGTATTATACCTTTAAACACCTGTGCTTGAGCCTGAGTTTATCCTTTGCCTCTGTGTGGTGCTTCTGATTTTATGGACATGTCAGATGAAAGCTATAGAATTTTTCTCAGGCAAAGCTTAGAAGAACTTAGAAAACTAAGACACATTCCCTGATTGGTACTTGTCCATAGTAGAGAAATTGATCATCTGCCTTGGTTAATGTTCTGTGGACTTCGTTATTCTGAAAATTCATGTCTATAACTTGTAAAAACAAACATTGTCTTCAGAGAATAGTGAGAATAAAGAAATATTGAGGCTGGGATCTTTTAAATCATTTGTTTGTTCCAGCATATCTAGCAGCTTTGATTTCTCCATCTGTGCCATATTTGCTAGAAATAAGTAAGTTAGGGTCTGGAGAAGAATTAATTTGGGGGCTGGTGGTAGTTGAGACAACCATAATATTTTCACTCTGATGGTCCATTAGATGGGAGGCATGCTAGGAGTTGGGGTGAGGGAAGCTGGAGAAAATAATGAGCTACATTTAAAATTCTCCACATGAAGCATAGGACACAGGGGATCTCCATAGATCTTTAGGAATGCCTTCTGCATACAAAAATTCTTGGGGCTGGGGTTGTGGCTCAGTAGTAGTGCACTGGTCCGGCATGTGTGAGGCACTGGTTTCGATCCTCCGCACCACATAAAAATAAATAAAATAAAGGTATTGTTTCCATCTACAACTAAAAAAAAATTTTAAAAAATTCTTTAAGTATATTTGTGTGGTATAAAATTTTTTGATTGTGTATTTTAGTGATGTATATTTTTAAACTTTATTTATAGAAAACAAAAGGAATAGCATAATAAAAGACTACACCTGGGCTGGAGATGTGGTTCAAGCGGTAGCGCGCTCGCCTGGCATGTGTGCGGCCCGGGTTCGATCCTCAGCACCACATATAAAGAAAGATGTTGTGTCCGCCGAAAACTAAAAAATAAATATTAAAATTCACTCTCTCTCTCTAAAAAAAAAAAAAAAAATGACTACACCTGTCTCTCAGTTTTAACAATGATTGATTAAAAATTTGCCATGTTATTTCACCCACATCTCTACCTATTTCTACTACATGAATTTTTTTTTTGAGGTAAAATATAATTTCCTTAACTACACATTAATTAATACCTTAACTACACATTTTCAACAATGACGATTCCCAGGTAACCATCACTCCATTAAGATATATATATTTGGGGCTGGGGTTGTGGTTGGGGTTGTGGTTCAAAGATGGAGCACTTGCCTGGCATGTGTGAGGACCTGGGTTTGATCTTCAGCACCACATAAAAAATAAGTAAATAAGATAAAGGTATTGTGTCCAACTACAACTAAAAAATAAATATTAAAAAAAGATACATACATTTACGTCACCCAGAAGTTTCCACAAGTCTCCTTCCTAGGCAGTTTCTGCTTCTCACCTGATGTTCTGATTGTTTTCATCAGAGATTAACTTTGCATTTTCTAGAACTTCAAAAAATGGAATTAGATGGCATGTTATCCTTTGTATCCAGCTCTTCTTCACATAGCATGATTTTCATGGATTTCATTCACTAGAACACATTCAGTAGTTTCTTTTTACTCTCAGGTAGTATTCCATCCTATGAATCACCATAGTTGTTGCTTATTGCTTCCTTTGTTATGGGTGTTTGTGTTGTCTCCAGCCTTAGCTATTGTAAGTGAAGCTGCTGTATTCTTATACAGGTCTGTATGTGGACATGTTTTTGTATCTTGTGGATAAAAGCCTAGGAGTGGAATTGCTTGGCCAAGTGGTATACTTTTGAAGTTTAAAAGGATTTCCCCGCATATTCCATGTAGGTGGGACCTGTGTCACTAAATAAAATTATTAATTAAAAATAATGAAGTCTAATACACAGAATTAAAATATAATTTAAAAAATTCAAAATTAACTTTAAATTAATGTTTCATACTAACTTTAATATAGAATATTGCTGTATGGTTTTAAAAAATATTTTTTAGAAGTAGTTGGACACAATACCTTTATTTTGTTTATTTTTATGTGGTGCTGAGGATAGAACCCAGGGCCTTGTATATGCTAGACAAGAGCTCTAACACTGAGCCACAATCCCAGCCCCTTGATGTATGGTTTTAAAAAGTAACTTGATTTAAACTTTTTAAATTTATTTGAGAATTTTTTTTAAATAATTGTTTTATTTTATTTATTTATTTTTATGTGGTGCTAAGGATCAAACCCAGCACTCCACACATGCTAGGCAAACA